TGTTTAACATACTTGAGTGTTTGGGAGTAGTTGTAAGGTAGATAGTGTTTCATGCCCATTAATCAAGGACTAGGGGAGAAATTCAATTGTTCAACACTCATTAAACCTGTCCTTGCTGCTCTAACTAAAATACACGTTCACTTTGGAGCCTTCCTTAAGAAGATAATGCATCTAGGTTGTATTAAACAGAGTCATGTTTGAGTTTTGCTGGGTAATAATTTAATTTGCAAAATTGCAAGAAAGGCAACACTTGGCTCATAAAAAGTGTGAGATGAAGTCTTTGGTTTGAAAAGTCCTCTCTTGAATTGACCCACCTGAGGTCAGTTCTCCCCTCTGGAAAGCCAGGGAACAAAGGAATCATGCCAGAGACAGGAGAAGGAGAGGCTCCCAGGCTGCTCCAGGGTCTGGAGAGGCAGAGCCCATCCCTGGCAGTGCTGGGAGCTGGGAATCCAGCTTTGTCTGTGCTGAGAAATTTGGCCACTGTAGCAAAACACAAACACAGTTCCAAAGCTGTTTTAGTGAGCAGAATAGGCTCAGTTAGCAAATGGAATTAATGCTGGCACTATGTATCTCTGCTGTTGTATTTTGCCAGCAAAGAAATGTGGCAGATAGAAGCAAGTGTTTTTTTTTTTTTTTTTTTTTTTAATTCCACCACTAGTAGAGCTTGGCAGAGCCTGCTGCAAACCTGGTGTGAGTTGCCAACCCCATGGCTCCTGGCATGGAGGGAGGGATTGAAGCAAGCACCAGATCTTTCCTGGACTCACTGATAAGCTGAATATGGGCACTAAGCAGAGGCAAAACCTCTCTCAAACTCTCTGCCAAAGGACTCCTTGTTCCCAGAGGCATCTGGGAGAGGAAATATTATGCAAACTCTAATTCTCTAGTGTGGTTTTAGGAGTATATCTGCTAAATTCAGGAGCCTGGGGATGGGGGGAAGATCTCCACAAGCAACACATGCCAAAAGAGTGTCCAGAGCTGGTCACTGCATGCTTGTGTCTCTGTTGGGTTCACGTGGCTGCTGTTGGTCCAGGTGCCATCAGATTCCCCAGAGTCATGCATTTCAAGGGGAAAGAAAGGGTCTTAAATATTTTTTCCTAGCTTTCTGCAGAGTGTGGTCTCCAAATCCCTTTGGAAAGGGAAATTGCATACTGTGTTTGTTGTTGGGCTTCATGAGTGGGGCATTTTTCTGCTCTATGGTTCAGTATGCTCCGTTTCTCACAGCTGTTAACCTTGTAAATGTGGGGATTTGAGACTCAGCCATTTAAGCAATTTTAGCTCTTTCCTGGGGCCTGATATATTTTTCCTGAAAATGCATCATTACAAAAGTTTATTAGGAGAAACTGCCATTGGCAGAGGTGTCTTCCACCATAGCCCAGATCAGGTATGTGATATGTTGAGGTTTATTAATCTCATTGCACGTATTTTTAAAAGTCAGGGTCCTGGGCTGGGGAGGGAGAGATCTGCCCTCTTTTACCTGCTGAAATCAGTAATGACTAGAAGCTGTCAAGTGGTGATGGGATAGGGATGAATCTGAGTAAAGAATAGAAATCAGGAAAGGATTGGGAGTAGGAATCAGGAAAGAAATGTCAATAAAGGAAGGCTGAAAAGAAAGGCAAATAATCCATTTGCTTTATGAGACAGGAAAGACCTGTGGGATATTCACTGGAGTTTGTTGGGTGAGATGTCACCTCCACGGCTCAGGGTAGCTCACTTGCCTGAGAGCAGTGCTGTGGTCCTGGGAGATCAAAGCCATGGAGCAATGGTGCAGCCTTTGCTGTTCCCATCCCACTCAAGAGGCAGGATTTTCTTTTCTCATTTTAATTTGTGCCACTGCTGACAGCAGCATTTGCCCAGGCAGAAGTTGCTCTTACAAGAATTATGTTCCTTTTCTAAAATTGCTTCCACCACCGAGTGCTTAAAAAGAAATCGAATGGCTGCCATGCCAGCCCTTAAATGAGAGCTGCTCAGAGAGCAGCTCAAGAGGTCTCCAGAGAAGCAGCAAATAAAAAGTCTTTTCTGTTTCTGGATTCCTATCCTGCTCTGAAGCAGGGCTGGGAGCCAGCAGGGTGGGGGGAGCCCTGTCTGTGGATATGGAGCTGAGGACTGGGCAGGCTGGCTGGGCAGGCTTGTATTGAGAGCTGGCTTGTTCCTTCTCCCTCCATGCTTGGCTTTCCTTTTGATTTTAAAAACTCCATTTGGAGCCAAAGCAGAAAATTTGAGGCCAGTTGTGTGAAGACAGTGTGGGGAGAGACCTGGACCAGAGCATGGCTGTGAGTTAGGATGTGACTGGTGGAGATGAAGCCTGCAGGGGAGGGAGAAAAAGCCAAACACTTTGGGTTGGGAATAAGGTTGTTCTTTTCTGCCTTGGCTGCCAGGGGGATGCTGGGGGTTGAGAACTACTGAAAAGCAGAGTTTTTCTGGCAGAGGGATGCAAGCCTCCTGACTACACCCCGCTGCAAGGAGGATTTGGCACCCAAACAAAGTAATTCCGTGCCGAGGCGCTCTCTCGCAAAGACTTGTCTTAGGGGAGAAAAATAAAGGGAAGGGGAAGAAAAACAGCCAGCAGAAAACCCTTAGAAAGAGCAACTCCTGGTTAATGCTGCACTGCAAGCTTTGAGAATCAGTGGTGACAATTGCAAGGTGCTGCACGAGGAGAGCAGCGGGCACAGAGCTCCAGGTTACTTTGCAGACACCGGGGCCAGGCTGCTGGGAGCTGGGGGAAAAGCCACGTCACCAAATGCAGAAGTAGAAATGTCACATTGCAAATCATGGGACAGGTGACAGCCCTCCAAATGTCACAGTGACACTGCTAAATAGGAGGCCCAAAGCTCAAGGGTGCCTTGGGAGAGGCGCCTGCTGCTGTTTGGTGAACGAGCACAGGGCTGTCACAAGGGCAAGCAGTGACAGAACAAGGGGCAATGGCTTCAAGCTGAAGGATGGTAGGTCTAGATCAGATATTAGAAACAAATTAGGGAGGTGTTGGCTAAAGAGACTCCAGAGAGCCCATTTTTCTGGAGGAAACTCTTTGAATAGCTCTTTTCCACATCCATGAAGATTGGATTACCATTTTTTTCAGTAATGGGGTAGAATTAGCGAAAGTAAATTTTTGACTTTGAATCCATCAGATTGTAGGAAATGGAAGAAAAAAAGTAGTTGTAAAAAAGGAATAGAATGAGTGTTTTCTTCATGCTTATTTAACATTATTTTCTATTCTCAAAACCAGGATGTTGACTTTATTGTCAGCCAAACAGACTATGGTGTCTGTAAGCCTAATAAGGACTGCTGTACCCCCATGGATGGGTAACATAATTTCATATCCCAGGAAGTGAGAAATCTCCCAAAAATTTTTGATTGCTGCTGAGAAGACATTGCTGGCAATTCAGGACTAGGATTTCAGAGAACACCAAATTTTCAGCAGAATATTATGAAGTGTTGAAGAGTTACTGAGAGCCACTAGTCTAAGGCTGATGTTATTTATATCCTCCGTGTCTGGTGAAAGTGATAAATCTGCAAAGACAGGGAGGATCATATCCTGCAGCCCATACTGTAAGGGCATTTCTTACCCATAAATTGAAAACTAATGTTTATTTCTCTTTAATTAAATACTCCATTAGCCTAAGACTGTGTTAAAATATTTAAAAGGAAGTAGTGTAATCAATATACCAACTGTGCCACTGTAAACATATCTCCCATGCAGTAAGTGCCAGGTTTTCTTTCCTTGGAGAATTATGAGTGCTTTGAAAAAGACAGGTGGGACATTGTGGGTTGAGATGGTCTGTAAATGCAAAAATAGAATTTTTTTCTTGCCTCTCATGAGGACACTTCATCAAGCTGGTGTCTTGGTAATGCTCAGTGTATTAATTGATTCAATTTTTTGGGGGGGATAGGCAACATTTCTCCTAAAATCTTCATCTGCTTCTTAGGCATGTTTGTGTGTGTATACATAAAATTATTGTCCAAAGCAGAGGATTTTGTGCTCCCATTAGTTTTACTCTTCATGTTTATTACATTGCTCCTGTCCCTGCTCCTCTGTGGCCACTGCTGGCCACTCAAGCAGAAGAAGCTTCACATCTCACAGGCACCAGGGCCTTTCCAAAATATGCCCAAAATAGATGGGAAGGAGGAGAAGCCTGGCAGTAACCAGGTGGAGGAGTGCAGAGATTATTTTCTTCTTCAATCTGGTTAAAATCAGGCTTTAAACCACTGAGGAAATAAATGCTTTTTTCCCCCCAATAAAATAAATATTCTGCAGCCCTTCCTCTCCCTTACTGGTACCTGGAAGAGCTCAACCAGAATCATAAAGTGCCTGATTTCGTGTCCACATGTTCTCAGCAGATACTTTCTCCCCTCTTGTTATTGTCTTGCAAAGCATCCAGTGTACTGTGGTAATCAAGGGGAATTTTTGCAGCCACTTTCTCTCCTCAGAAAATATTCCTAGTGGTGTGATGATAGGAAAAAAATGCCTTTTGTGAAGATAATCTATCAGATGATTAGTTTACATATGATTTTAATGCCAAGAACCTCAGACTGCTTAAAAATAATAAAAAATGAAATGTCAAGCAAATAAAAGTTAATTAAATACACAGTGAGAGAGGCTTAATTTTAGTCCTAAAAGGAGCTGAAGCTTTTGCAGAACATCTCTACAAAGGTAACACAATCCCTCACTGCAAGGTGTAAAATACCCCCCACTCCCTGGTAAGAAATGAGCACAGCACCTGAAGAGCATCTGTACTCCAGACACCACCAGATGTGGAAGAGAACATTTGCTGGGGGGGTTGGAGAAATAAAAAAGCAGTGAACTAACACAGACCCTCCATGAATTGTTGCATATTACTAATATTCTTGAAAATTGTCACACAGAAAGAGCTCTGAGTTACTCCAAGCCCAATGCAACACAAGATTTAAAGGTCAGCTCTTTTCCCATGGCAGTCCATGGAGGGCTGAGCTCCAGGCTCTCCCCAGCATGCTTTTTTTTAAAAAATTTATTCCAGCATGTCAGCTGTGCTGAAGCAGAGGAGAGCCAGAAGAGCAAATGAGACAAGGCAGCAAATACTGCAGCATGGGCAGGTGGGTTTCTACTGAAACAAGTGTTTGCCTGGGCACAACAGCAGAGGATTTCATAGGAATGTTCACTTCCCTTGCTGGGACTCCTAACAAAGGTAATAAACCAGTAATTAAAGGCTTCCCCATCACCATAGCTCAATCAAGGATGCAGCCAACATGTTTGTGTTCTGGTCCAGGCAGCTCCTGGAGCTTTGGGGTCTGGGAGGGGGCAGAGCTGCAGGAAGGGGGAAAATCCAATATCTGGGTCTGTGCCTGGCCCTTCAGGACCACAGCTGGGATAGGGAATGTCCTAAAAAAAGAAGAAAAAAAAAAAAAAAGGTATGAAAGCCACAAAATGAAGGGCTACCAAAGCAAAATTACAGTGGTGGGTGGGGCTCTTCTGGTGGGAAACCTCCTGCCCTGGCCAGGATCCCAAGCCTGCTTAAATGTCTCCAACCAGCGGAGAAGGCTTGAGACTATGGCCAAAATAAAGACACCAGGACTTGTTCACAAGCACCCCTAAAAGTCACCATGAGGGTTGTATCTTCAGGCAGCACAAATGCCAGGAAGAAATGGAGGGAGAAGAGATATTTACTCCCCATTTTATGTATGTTAAAGGGCTGTATGCTACATTTCCTAATTAATTTTGAAAATATATAAGTTAGCAACAGAAGATATGAGACATGATGTATTTAATCTTGGAGTCTACAAGGCTTTCCTCACCCTTGACCCATCACTGATTTATGTGTGCTGTGGAATGTGCTGACTTTCTTAATGGATGGGTAACATAATTTCATATCCCAGGAAGTGAGAAGCTGCCCAAAATGTCAGAGCTTCAGACTGGTGGGTTTCAGTCAGGCTCTTTTCTTTAGTCTTTCTCTGCATTCTGCATGCTTTTTCTTAGCACCATCTAGGAAACATTTGCACAAAGTGGATGGTATTTTGGTAAACACGTGTAATCTTTAACAATATAACAGCTTTGTTAATCATGTAACACATAAAATGCTCCTTCTCTGAGCTGGCCTAGTTTGGAGGTTAAAATTATACACCCTAAAAGGGAAAAAAATACGGGGGAAAAAAAGTTCTCTCATTCTGTTTGTATTATTTTGCAATACAAAAAGAAGAGAAGATCAGTGTCATCGGGAAAACAGACTTCATCTTGACAGGTAACTTTATTTTGAAATGTAATTATTGGGTCAGACTCACAGCATGGGCAGCCCCTAAGACTGTGTCCTTGGAGCGTGGGAGAAGGAGCAGGGATGAACAAGGGGATAATAATGCAATGACTGTTTTCTTCGTTTTGCTTTCTCTGCACTTACAAAGAAGTCGACCTTGTTGCCCTGTTGATGAGCTTGCAGTGCAATGCAAAGAAAAGCAGCCAACATTTGCTGTTAGATGCACAGTGCATTAAATCCACAAAGACATGAGCATACAGGTCCTTTGCTGGGTAGTGACAGGCAGACAGCAAATACAGTCATATACCAACACTTTTTTTGTGGGTGAGCTGTGGGATTACCTGTACAACTTTATATGATCACTCAGTTATAGATAAGGAGCACTTTGGTGGCTTTCCCACCCATGACAGACGGCGTGGGCTGGCAGTGGGAGCGTGCAGTGAGCCAGAGGCAGCCCTGCTGTCCGTGCCATGCTCTCCTCTCCATGGCTGTCCTTTCTGGATGCTCTGACTGCTCGTGGCTCTCAGCTTGCAGGGACCTGCACAGAGCTGCCAGACAGCCCAAGGCAGGCAGGGGTGGCACTGATTAAGTGCCTTTGCTAATGATGTGCTATTAGAGGGGTTTTAACCAATCCTGGGAAAGGACTTTTGTTTTGCTGTTGAACTAGTAAAGATTTGAATTACTGCTTTGCCCCTTTCATTTCCAAAGACCATGAACATGTTGGCATTAGTTTCACCAGTCAAGAGGTTTGTATACCCCATGCCTCGACTGGCCATCAGTCTCTCCTGTTGCTGTCTGTTGTCCCAGAATCTCCAGTGACTGTGCAAAGTGCTGGATGCTGCATGCTCATTCCAGATTTATCAGTGCGATTTGCATAGACTTAATATTTGTGCCTCACTGATGTAAAACTTGAATATTATTGGTTTATTAACTTTTTTGGTGGGGGAAGGTCATTACTTCTGCTTTATGGAGGTGTTTAAAATGTGCAGAACCTGATGTAGATGCTTTGATTGCATGCATAAAAGTTGTAGGAAATACTGTAATAAAGCTAATAGAGCAGATAGTAAATGTCTTCATGTTTGGAAGGATGTGGATGTGCTTTGTGTTTCCTGATGAGTGGAACAATTTTTCCATAATCAGGGTGTATTTCAGCTGCAACCTTCCCCACATGTCTGTGTGGGTTGGTAAAGGAGCGAGTGTCCCTTTTTGTGAGTCTGGGTCTGCTTCTGGCAGCCTTCCACCACTGCCCCTTTCAAGCCATGGTCTCTCCTCTCACATACCATGCAATTCTTCAAATTTTCTCTTTCAGCAAGCAAGAAAACATTAAAACTGGCAAAGATTTAGTACCAAAAATGCTTTCATTTTACATGCTGGTAGGATATGGAATAAGAGAACAAATCAGAAAAGCATGAAGGGAAAATTCTCCTGCCAGATGCAATCTATCCATACAAACAAATCTTTGTGTTTGTGATCTCCTACAGCTGCTGAGGGTGCAAGGTGAGGAAGAATTGGACTGGACAAGGTTGAACAATCTTTCAATCCTCCTCTGGTACTGAACTCTATAATATCCTACAAGATACGTAGTTTATCTTTCATATATAGAGGTTTGTAGTGACTTATTTTCAGTTTGTGTGTTCTGAACTAGTGAAATGAATGAATGCTGCACAATTAATTAATTTATCAATCACATTTAGTAAATGGATTGTCTGATCTGAAACACAGAGGGAGAAATTAAACAGATTAATGTCTTTTCTCAGCTGAAGCAAAAGCAGTGATCAGAGCTGGATGAATTAACTTGGAAATGAATTGACATCATTTCTGCAGACACAAGTAGTTTCTGTCATGTTTGAGGTCATGTTATTCACTGTCCATGAAGCAGTCAGGCATGCTGGCAAAGCTGGGACTTTTCAGAACATCAGCCTGCGTGGTAATTCATGCCAGTCTGCCAACATCCATCTTTTATTGGCCTTTATCCTTTCAGAGGAGGAGGAATGACTTGGTGTTTTCATCCCTCTCTGTCAGTGCCCAGTCATTACAGGAGAAACTGATGATGGAGCCAGGGTGTTTAATTCACAGATCACAGGAGTGCAGCAGGGAAACCTCCCTCCCTCCCTCAGGAGGAGCCTCCATCTGCCTCCCAGCCAGGAGCCCAAGCCCAAGCAGTCCCTGCAGAGGCGCCCCTCCAGCACTCAGGGGGTGGCAGGAGGGGAGCAGACACACTCTGCATTGACAGATGTGTTCAGGACTGCGGGCTCCATAAGGAACGTGTTTTCTGGGCAAGCTGAACCGGGTATGGTCCTAGAAATAGACACTGCTGGAGGTAGCAGACATTCCATGAGCCAGGCAGAGCGTGCCTTACCTTGTATCCCATCACTTTTTGGAGGGGGCTGTCACACCACTGAGCTCACCTTCCTGGTGCCCTGCTGCTGGGAGAGGGGGGAAGACCTGCTCGAGGAGTGGAAAGCAGAGGGGAGAGTGGCTGAGAATTTGGGAGATGCAAACTGAATGACTTGAGTTCTTGGTGAGCTCAGAAAACACATGGAAATAGGCCAGTGGGGTGCAGGGCTGCCTGCTTGTTGTCAGCTCCTGTGGTGGCAACCAAAATTTGCGGAGAGACCTGAAAGGTCTGGTTTTGGTTCATCTGGGCCTCTGAACTGGTAAAAAACAGATACATTCAGGAGAGAGAAGCCTGAACTGGCAGAGGCAGTGACTTCCCTGCCATGGGCAATGTTGTTCGACTGCTGCCCAGAACTCTTGGGTCACCTCTCAGGAGCCAGGCTGAGGGGAAAGGAGCAGCCAAGCTGGTCCATTGGGCCACCACCTCCTTTTTCCCCCTGAGTGAGCTCACAGCAAGTGGAGCTCCTGTCACGATCCGCTTGTAGCGGGGTGTCGTGATGGTTCATTAACTGATCCCAAAAGTGCAAAAAAAAGGTAAACAGCAGGGGACTATCAGTTTAATCACAACAAATGCACCTTTATTAGGGCCAGAAAAGAGACAAAAGCATAGAGAAAAGGGGAGAAAAGAGGGGGATGGGAATAGCTACCAACACAGGCGAGGTCCTCACAGGTCGAGACGATGGGGACTTGTCTTGCTGTGTTGGGAAGAGTCTCCAAAGTCCTGCTCAACCCAGGGGTCCAGTTATAGTCCTCAGAGGAAAAAGGGGGGAACATGCAGAACAATAAGAGTCTGTTGAAATTGCTATGGGGGCACAGGTGAGTCCACTGAACCACCAAGGCAGGACGAACACAATGAAGAATAAGTCCACTGGAGTTACTGAAGAAGAACAGGCCATGTCAATAGTGGTGTGACCGCCAGAGTCACCCCAACAGTTCATTTGGCTCAAGGATGGAGAGTGAAGCAGGCCTTGCAGCAGCTGCCCTGTGCTGGGTCCATGCCAGGCCTTTGCCAAGTCCTTGCCAGGCCTCGTTCGGAGCTGCGGCACGGCACAGCGGCTGCACCTGCACTGCCGCCTTCTCCAAGCCTGCAGTGGGGGAAGGGGTTCCTCCTCGTGGCAGGCACATGGGGAATGAGGGGGTTCAGACAGCCTCTTACAGCTCCCAAAAGCAGGAGCCTGCCCAGAGTGAGAGCAGCTCCCTGCCAGCCACGCTCCCCTCCCTGCCCAGCTCCTGGGGAGGCTCTGCCAGCTGAGCTGCTCCTGCTGCCAACCTCTGGCTTTACTTTTGTGCAAGCAAGTTACTCTCTGAGAACACAGAACTGCAGAGCTAATCTCTGTTCTTAATTTGACATTAAAGTTTATTTTCAGCAAATTATTCAAAAAATCCACAGCACAGCTGTTCCACATTAATCTCTTCCTTCTTGCAGTTTTTTCCTTTGGCAGAAGGCAGTTTCTGTCTCTGTTTGTTTGTTGCAGAGCCATGTACAAGAGACAGGAGCCTGATGAGCACTTGGGGCAGGGAGAGAGTCTGTGGAGGTGGGTTTCACCTAACAGGAATTTGCAGAGAAGGTGGGGAAGTGTATCCCATCACCTGAGACATCCCTGCCCCAGTGCAGGTTAGGGCAGGGATTTCTGGAGTAGAGCCACACCAGGCTGCTCTGAGGAGAGAGGACTCAATCTGAATTATCCTGCCAGCTTCACCACTAACAGCTGTAAAGGCAGTGCATGGGCCAGCTCATTTCCTTTACTGATGACAAGAGGAATTAAAGCTGAATGCTTCCTGAAAATCAGATTAGTGCTGTGTTAGTCAGTGGGCAACAGAAGGTTGCCTCTGGGTAACAGTGTAAGGTCAGAAATTTAGTTTTAACTTTTGAAATCACCCTTTGGGCAGCTAAAAATGATGATACAATAGCTCATTGATACTGTAATCTTGGAAGTAAGTTCTCTTTACATAGGTCCTTTAGCCATTAAATAGGTGATTTGAATTAACTATTAAATATTATTGAATTTGGTTATTTAATATGTGTATTAAATAATAATAATTTAAAATAATAATGATATATCATATTTAATTATTTAATTTTGCTATTGAATTAATTACTAACTGTAATGAAATATTATTAACTACTACTTGAATTGACTACTAACACACTACAAATTGATGCCTTTGAATAGCACAGGCCCAATTTGTAATGCAAAGTCAATTTGTGTAGGTACTTTTAAGTACATGGTTTGCAGTTGTTGTCCCCTTTCTCAACCAGTTACTCAGAAACATGCCTGCACTACTGTGAAATTTTTTAAAAAGTAATTTATTTTTCTGTGCAGCTCTATCTTCCCTTGTTAACAGACCCTGAAACAGTTCAAAGCAGAAGGTGTATGGGCATTCAAAGTGGGAAATGTAAAATGTGTGAGCTGGTAAATGTTGCATATCTCAAGATGGAGAGTTTAGCACAGACAAGAACTGGAAAATATATACAGTATCATTTTTGCTACAAATTTAAGACTGAACTCTTCTGACCTATACATCCTGTGTGCTGCCATATGATTTGATGCAGCTCAATATTGGCAGTGCCAGAACTGGAAGGAAAATATGTGTCTTATTAGAAAATGCATCTGGTTGGAAATCAGGTTAATCTATTGCATTTTTTAAAACATCATATAATCTTTAGAATCAATTTACATTTACCCCATCCAGTGGCCTAAAAGCCATGGGGTGTTTCAAAAGGGATATTTTCCTGTACATTGAATCCCACTGGAGTCTAAGACAGAGCAGTGTGACTTTCAATTAGAATCGTGTGGCAGTGCTGTTTGGGGAGTGGAAGCCATGTGCAATAACATTGAATTAGGACCAGTCTAGGAAAAATACATTTGAGCAAATTTCATGTCTGCTAGTTCAGACTCCTCTTAGGGCCAAAACACTCACGAGGTACTTGGATAAGAAAAAGGAGATAGATATTGATTTCTCCCGCCTCATTTGGTTGGCACGATGCTGCACAGTAAAGATTAAATTTTCTTCAGTTGTTTTGAAAAAGATGCAAAAGGAGAAGTGAAAGGAAGTGGCAGCTGATAAAGATATACAGCAGGTGGGGCAATGTGGTGCCTTGCAAATCAACTTTGTAAAATACATCTTAAATGGAGGAAGGATGAACTTAGGAGGATGGCATGTAAAAGCAGAGGAAAGAGTGGTACTAGAGCAGGAAAACGTCAATGCAGGAAGGCAGAGATGTGGCCAATGTTTCAGGAGGAAGATCTGGCATCTCCTAAGTTTATGGAAATGTTTTTGTTGGATTCGATGGAACCAACATTTCCACCTTTTAGCTGGTGGTGCCATGTTTTGAATCTTGAGCAAGATGCTTTTCTCCCTCTAAGCACAACTTGCAGTGAATAGTAACATACTTCCCAGAACCAGAGGTGATGAAATTGTCTTTGATATGTTTCTACCTTCCCTTTAGTTCAAAGGTTTAATCTTGGCCTCTGAACCACCCACTCTCAGAATCATGTCCTCCAAGCAGACTTAATTCCTATTTAATTCCTATTTCCTTAATTCCTATTTCCTTATCCATTTAGGTCTGTGTGAATATCTACAGGAAGAGAAAACCCACCTGGTTCTCCCATCTGGCTGTGTTTGATACGGAGCTAGGAAGAGTGGTTGTTAAGTATAATCTGGGATAAAAGTGCTCTTAAAATTTTCTTGTCTTAAATCTGTTCCAAAGATCAGAAAAAAACCTACCAGATGTCAATTTTGATAAAGTTAAGGAAAAATTGTGGTTCGGGTACTATTTGATGAAATATGCTTCTACATCTGTTAAATAAAATTAATTCTTTAATTAGCTGCAGTAAGAGAAGCTTTTAAAAAGACACAAAGTCCAATTTGAGCCACTGAAATGAAAGAAACTTCAAAAATTTAAAGTATGTTGCATTCTTCCTGCAGTTTTACTTGTATCTTCGTATTTTTGATTCATCTTGTTATTCTGGGCTAAAGGGTTCATGGGCCTAGAAAGCTGTAAGCAAGGAGAGAGCAGCTGGGGGAAAAGGAGGCTCTCCAGAGGATTTGTAGGAAGATGGATTTTGTGACATCCAGGTTGTTGTGGAGAGCTGCTTTATCTCCCCACTGCACCCCCTGACACCAGGGCTTTGTGTGCTAAGTCCAGCAACCAAATTTCTGCCCCAGTCACAAAGTGTTGGCTTCCTCTGGGGACACTTTGTGGCTTCTGCAAAAACACATCTTGAAAGCATTTTTCTTTCATTTTGATGAGGAGTGGGAATACTTTGAAATCTCAGAAAATGCTCAGGTTAAATCATACCCCACTGAGGTAGCACCTTATCAAACAGCACAGCAAGGACATGCCCTTTATTTAGGCAAGTGGAATCTTTCCTGAGCTGTCCTTCTCTGTACATCAGAGCAGAGCTGAATCTCTCCAGGTAAAATGGAAATAATTTCCTCTTGACACAAGTTTATCCTGATGTAAGGCTTAATTGATAGCTTGCAGGGCACTTGTGTTTTCCAGGCTGTTGGTTTTGCTTTAAGCACAAATTTACTCAGTGATGTGAATATTTTGACAACTCTGCCTATCTGTGCTCAGGAACTGCAGTTTGGTGTGAATTTCCAGGGTGTGTTGACCCAGTTTTAAAGCCTAAAATGAGCATGCTCTAGACTGATATGGAAATACTGTAGTTGGCAAAATAAAACAAAGAAATGGTAAATAATCAGAAGTAGACTACATTCTGCACAAGAACTTTTAGGGGAGTTTTGCTTAGCTGGCAGAGGCGTGTTTTTGTCCTTAGACTTTCTCCAGAAGGTAATTTTTAAAAAATGGTGCAATTCAGCTTGAAGAAACTTGTCATTCTGACCCACTTGCATGTCCTCATGGATACCTCTCTTCAGCAAATCTCTGCCTAGCTGTAAACACACAAAAATCAACATGTCAAATCAAAGAGAATTAGTTTTCACATGTTACTTCATTATTCTTTTGCCATCCCAAGTCTAATAAATGTCTCATTTAGAATTCTCTCTCACTCATATTTGTGGTGTTTATTTTTATGTGCTTATGAAAGCTTATTTTTAGGCAACTCAAGGCTCATTCTTTAAGAATAAAGAAATCCTTTTTGATTTTATGTGGTGTTGTGTGAGCAGAGCTGGGAAGCCTGTGATTGTTTTCTTTAGATTATGTAATGAATTATCTTCTTCCAAAATATTATGCTCTGGGGACTGATCACAGGAAGCATGAGAGAGCATTTGGGAAAATTACCAGATCTCTGCAATACATGCATGTGGGGTTTTTTTGTGTATAGAACAGGATTTTAAGAAGGAGTGTTTGAACCATTTTGCTACAAACTCTCCTGACATTGTATTTGTGCTATCCATACAGTCAGAAAAACATTTACGTGCTGGAAGATAGTTGATTTTGCTACATGATTTGAATGTGGAAAAACATTTGTACTAATTATGCACACACACACAAAAAATAGTAAGGAAGTTCTGTGTTCATCTCTTTTATTTTTGTGATCCAAAATCTGGCTATAAATAAGAGTGCATTTGCTTAATAAAGAAGTATTATCACTTTGCTTCACCATTTCCCTCTTAGGTAAAATTAGCTGTGTTGCTAAGCCATCAAAATGCAGCTGAGAGGAGAACAATGATGAGCCCAGCTGTGCCCCTCGTGCTCCCACAGAGCTGCTCCTGGTCCTTGGTTCATCACTGCCTTTTGTCTCTCCTCGAGGAGCACATAAATTATGGAATTGCCATTAAATGTAAATTCTCCTTGGCCACTTTTTATTCCAGCAGCTGCTGGGAAGGTGACATGGATACCTGCTCACTGTTCCTCCCCAGAGCCTTTTTGATGGGGTGGAATGAGGAATAATAACTAGATTATTGCTGCTGTATGAAGGCAACCAATTACTGGTTGAAGCAGGTAATTATGATGCTGAACATAGCTAGGAAAGTTAACATCTTGGCAACTAGTTGAAATTTGAAATAAAACCTCAGTCTCATTATGTTCTGTATGCAGAGGAACTGAGCAAATAGTGTTGGCTCAAGCCAAAATAACAAATTTGGATCAGACTTCCCTTGTACTGGGATAATAAGTGTGGGATTTCACATCTGGCCTCTCAGGCTGGGCTGGTTTAAAAAAAAAAAAAATCATCAGTAAATTCAATTTTTTACTAAAGGCATCAGAAATTGCTTACGAGGGTTTTGCAGTGTGGTGAATAGCTTCTTGTGACTTCTGACTTTGGCTTGATGAGTTTCCTGTTCACCCTGATAGCTTTCAAAATGGGAGATTCTAAAATGACAAAAACATCAAGGAATAAAAATCCTGTTGGCAACTGCAAGCTGTGTGAACATTCAGACCGCCCCAAATGTGGGTGTCTGCAGAGTTACTGCAGAGAACGGCAATGTTCATAAGCAGATTACTGAGTCATGAGCATGTTTTGAATGTGATTACAAGCAGAGAGACAGAATTAGTCTTTGATTTCCATAAAAAATTAATGAGAGAGACAGACAGGGACAGACAAATTGAAGAGTTCACTTGGTTAATTTTCTACCCAGCAGCTATTGTAAATGTTCCTCTTATTTGCAAAGAAAGATATTAAGTCTATATTGGTTGTGCTGGCCAAGAAAAACTATTAGTGTGCTGGAGGTTTACCTGGGGGCAAACTGTCAGCAAATTATAAAAGTGACAACGTGCTCATTTTGGGACATTTTGATGCATCTTTCACAAGTGCAGTCAATTAAGGGCTCCTCTGGAAACGATGTTTGGCTGCTGTGCTCCTGAACAACAGCTCTGTCGTTGTGTGGGCACCAGTGGACTGATTCCCTCCCTTGAAAGTAGAGTCTAGTTGTGTTTTAAAAGGGTATTAGTGAAATTATGCCCTGCTACAGATGGGATAAGATGAGATTAAATCATTGTTAATGCTATAAATGCAGCAAGTGCTACATCTCTAGGATGTAATTTTATTTTTTTTAATCACGACTGCTGGGCAGTTTATAATTGAAACAATACAACCCTAGCAGTGGTTCTCTGAAGCAGGGCTGTGAGGTTCACACCCTTTCCCATGGATTCTGGTTTGAATCTGCCAAGGTCTAGCTACTGACTTAATCCAGAATTTAAGTACACTTTACCTCAGCCATGCTCCCTCAACTTTCACTCAAGGCAGCCAAAATGCCACCATTTGGCAGAAATATCAACTCTTCCAGATAATTTGTAAGGAACAAAGAGTTCTGATGCTGTCTACAAAATGGAGTTTGCTCTAATTTGCACTAAATACCAATGAACATTTTTGCAGAGATTTCTTATCCAGATCTAATGTCCTGTATTTAGACTATTTACAGATGGTTAAACGGTGAGATGATGAGTTCATTCCCTATTTAAATGCAACTCACAACAGAACATTGGAAGCTATACTTTTAAAAGGAATAATTGCCCTGACTATAGAACACTTTGTTCCCATGGAAAATGGCTAGGAAACTTGTGTTGTTTAATCTTTTTCAATTTCTTTTTTCTCTTTTTTTTTTTTCCCTTTAAATCTTGCAAAATGCTGACTTTTCAGTGAGAGGCAATAAAACTCTCATAAAGCTTATGATGGAAATGGGCATATCTGTCTGGATGTAATCAAGAGGTTTTTTCTCTGTTTAATAACAATAATAAAGATTCAGCTTTGGAGTGGAAATATTTAGTATGAGTATATAAAGTATTCTAGTTGACTTTGGGATGAAATATGGAAAACTCATGTCCACTGTGTGTTGGGAGGAACAGCTCACTACAGTAAACAAGGTACTATTTCTTTAGATATCTTGCAGAATTACTGGCAGGTAAGACACACGTTTAGTTTCTGCTTTTATGTTCCCTGTTATGATAGTGTCTGCATCAGCATCTTTGTGTTACAGAAGTGCCATAAATAATTCATATCTTTATTTAAATAAATGTGGATTTATTTCCAATTGGCATGGAAAAGACCTTTATTTTCTGTATCATTGTGCACAGTTGTCATACCAGCCCCTTATTTCAAAATGTTTGTGAGTCACTCAGAATACATCAGTAAATCAAACTGCAGCAAACTTAGCCTGAAATTTAATTAGATTATCAACATTTGTAGTTCTGTACTTTCCTAATAAAACGTGTCTCATTGCAGTTTACAAGGCATTGTCACCTCACCTGAACCCATTATTCTTGAAACAACATGGCAAAACATGAAGCAATTCTGTTGATTGTGCTCTGTTGAGTAACAGGGGTCCTTGAGAGTCATTCTAGATTAGCTGGTGATGTGTAACCCAGCAAAGCAGGAAGGAACATAACTCTGGCAATCCTTGCTCCTGTGGGATGGGAACCACAATAAAAATAACCTCCACGGTCAGCAAGCATGGCCTGGGTAGAGAAAGGATTCACTTAGTTATGTGAAGAGAAATCAAATGGGTAAATTAGAGAAATCAGATGTGGGAGGCAGCTCCTGCCACACACAGCAACATATAGCTGGAATACAGACTGTTTGTATTCACACTGGTTTGTGCTGAGCTAGGAAGATGGACATCTACATGAGTTAGAAGATAATAAAAAATTCCACAGATTAAAGCATGCAGGATAGGTTAGAGGGGAACAGAAGCAGAGGCAGGAAAATCAGCACAGCCTAGAGGAATATAAATCAATGGAGAGTGAAAAAAAATGTGAAGAGGAACACGTGCCTTGATTTCATACTGCAAAGCCCAAAAAGAGCACAAGAAAAGTAAAAAACCTGCTGACCAACCTGTAAGGAAACAAAGAGTCTTTCGGTATATTTAATTTTTCTGTTTCCAGGGGAAAAGCATCACAGTGGCTAGGATTTTCCCTAACTTTCTCTTCTGTTTCTATGATAGTGGGAAAATGTTTCGCAGTTTTTCTCCTAGGTTTTTCTGGACTTTTTGTTAAAGTCTCTTTGTGAGCATGGATATGGAGTTATGGATAAGAGGGCTTCTAACAAAATTTGTCTCAAGTCCTAACTCGCTGATAAGAAGCAGTAAAACCTGGGTCTTGTTGTGAGTGGACCTGAAAACTGCTGGGAACAGCATGACAGAGAGGAGCCATGGCTTGGAGACCATCCCTCCAGCTGGGGTGGAGCCCAAGCTGCAGATAAATAAGGTATGGAAACAGGGAGCTGCTGCCTTTCAGAAGGTGCCTCTGAACTCTTAATCTTTTAATTTATTGTGCACTTTTAATTTATTTATTTAGTCTATCTGCTTCTCCTCTCCTAGAAATATTACAATTTCTCTTCCTCTGCTAAAATCCCTAACCTAAGATATGTCAAATGGTCTAATATTATTGATTATATATGCCATCAACCTTTCTTATTTAGCAAAGAGTATCAGCGTCCCTTGTTTGTCTAACAAAGGTTAAGTTTAACCTTCAAGGCACAGTGCAAAGAACATCTGTTTATTCAGACTTCTAGCCTGGGGTCTGAGAAGCACAGTTTGTATTTGGGACTTCTGGCTGACATTTGTTAACTCAGTTTGCATGCATTTTAATGTGGTTTCTTGTACCCCAAGGCAGTTGTTTAGAATATAATATGATGGGATATAAATATATATATACAGCCAAATTATTATTTTCCAAGTTATTCCTGCTGGAATATGAAGGAGAAAATGAGTTTTTGAGATCTTAAAACCCACAGAGGTCACCAAGATTTTCATCAAGATTGGGATGTGGCACTGGACACACTAGAATTCAGCAGCATACAAAGAAGAGAAAGAGAGGAAAAAGACCAAATCTGACTGGTCTGAGCCTTTTGCTTCTGTGGGGAGAAGCTGCTGTTGGGGAGCAATGGATGGTGACTGTGTGTGCTGGGGCATGGAGGAGCTCAGACCTCTGGAAATGGAACCTCTCTGCCCCAAAGCTCTTCTGCCTGTGCAGCTCGGTGGCCACAGCGGTGTGTCAGTGTCACATTAAACTGCACAGCGTGGTGCCATGCTGGCAGCAGTGACTGGGGTGGGGACACGGCTGCCACGTGTCACAGGCTGGGGGGACACCTGGCCCCTCCAGGGTGACCAAGTCCTGGGTCACCCTGTGAGACCTCTCAGCCCCATTCTCGCTGGGTGTGATTTCTTATCTGCCAACACTTCTGCATGAAATTTGGGTTTGCAAGAAAATTCCATTTCCAGTAGAAATCATGCTAAAAATGTAATTTTTAAAATTGTACTTATGATTGCATAGAACTTCTCTTAATGACATTTAAATATGGGGCCAAACTTGAGCTGATGGCATCTCATTAAAGCCAAGGGAATAGAAATTCAAATGTGCATCTTCCTCCGAGTGGTTTATCTAGCAGCAGGAGTTATTATCTGGTGTGACACTGTTATCTGCCAGGAACTGTGTATCTGTACCAAGCTCAAGACAGATACATTTAA